CATCAATCCGATACGGCTGTTCACTAAAGGTGGTTCTTTTAGTTGTGTAACTCTATAAATGTGTTTGTAAACAAATGTTTTAAACTGAAACACACTGCAATACTTAAACACATGAGAAGCATTTCTTATACTTAAATTTTATCACAGACTCCAAAATGCATTAGGAAAAAGACTTTGCATCTTCTAAGTCCTGGAAAATTTTCCAGGAGACTTACTTTCCAACATAAGAACTACCACATCTAACAGAGTCTGAAAAGTTCTACCACAAGGTCATGAATTTCTTCAGAGAACCCATTTTAATCTTGTATTACCCCAACCTACCTGGAAAAAATGGAACAAAGCCATTGCTTAAGGTTTTTCATAGGATTTTTCCATATTAACATAGTTAATAGGACTACAGAAATGCTTTTGTCTCAATTTAATGTAGATTTTATTTTACCAGGTCATAAATATTAACCTGTACATGGGAACAAATCTAAGAGAAGCTGGGAACTAAAGAATAGCCTAATATTGCGATCTGTTCCCTTCCCCCATCTTAAGTAATTTCACCACAACTCTACAGTTTTAAAATCACATTGCAATCAAATGCAAACTCTTTGGGAACAAAAGGAAAGGGAAGAGAACAGCGAGTCAAAAGGGAGCTTTATTTTTAAGAACTTCTGTAGTTATGTCTGATCCATGGGGTGGATGATGCTTTTTAACCATTTATCTTCCTGCCTGATAATCCAGAATTCTCCAACTCTGTTACTGAGCCAGAGGAATCCTGACTTGGGGATCCTCTTTCAGGACGCTCAGGCCTCCAATCTTCCACTGGATTACACACTATTTACACCCAAAATTGTATCATTTCTGGAAACAGAATCCTTCAAATGAAAAGATCATACACTGACCCCCCCAATAACGTATTCTCTGCCAGTTCAGCCCCTGACCTGCTCAGTGGTGCCTAAAAATTCAGCAGCTGCATAGACATTCTGTCCATATCGAGGGTGATTGCTCAAAGAAACTTTCGAGGATAAAGATATAGACAGCATTTTAAGAATAAAAAGCATAAAAAGCAGAACACGCATATTAGCAGCCACAAGAATTGCATAAAAAGCAGAACACGCATATTAGCAGCCTTATTAAAAAAAACCCAACCAAACCTCCAACAAAATATTCTGTCAGTGCCAAGGAAACTCTTTATAGCACACAACATAACCAAGATGATCTGATGCAGGGGGGAGCTGTTAATGTATATAGCCCAATCACTTGTATATATGATCACCTATTACCTATGCTTTAAAAACCCCGCTGTTTGACTGTTACATCCACAAAAAAGTCAGAATCCAGAAGAGATGTCTGCAATTTGCATTCCACGAAAGTACCCGTGCAGAACAAGGCTTTCATGCTTGCTGTTGGATATCTATAGCTCCAATCTAGGAGCCATGCGTATTTAAAACAAAACGTCCAGCTATGTCCTCATGGGCACAACATTAATGCATCAGTCCTGGATTGTAATACGAGTACAACAGTTCATTGCACAGATCTTCAATTATTCCAGCTCCATCTTGTACAGAAGACTGAGTTTTATTCCATGCAAAGTGGAACACTGTCAAACTCCTTAAATCAACATCATAAAGCCACTGTTCCTTATACATCCCAATTCGTCAGCTATCCCTCTTCAGTCAGTGGGAAGACACACAGCTGTTTGGTACAAACCAGTAGTCAAGCTGAGGCATCTTTGCTAGAAGTAGTCTACTATTGCATTTCCACTAAAAATCAAATGCAATTGTCAGCTTATGCACTTCCACTGATCGCAATCTGTGACTAGAAGGAAGAAAATCTTCAAAGATTTCCAAAATCCTGTGACTTCACTGGAAATAAATACAGCATGCATGTGCTCGTTGTAAGGCACTGCTTAGTTAAAGAACTGATACTGTGCCTAGCTTCTGTTTCTAAACGTCCTAGGACAAATTATTTGCAAAGAAAATTACAGAGGATTAACCCCAGTGGTTAGCTTTTCAGCGCCTTCCTCTTCTTTCCTTCATTTAATTTGCTTACCTGACATCAATTTAAGAAGTTACCTACAGCCTGTCATTCTTCCACACTAATATCATTAAGGGAAGGGAGCCTCTAACATCTCTATTAAACCCGAATCAAGCAAAGTCTTCAACATGTAATGCCTCTAAGTCAACGAGGCATTACTGAAATGACTTAATCTGCAAAGTCAGTACTTGCCCACCCTACTTTACCACTACCAATCACTTCACAAAAGTAGTAGCATTATCCAGACGCATTTCAGAGCTTAGTTTTAAAATTTGTTTCCAGCGTACTACTTCAGTGAGGGTAAAGTGGAACTACAGAATAATGTCCACCTGCTTTTCTATTCCATTACATTTGGCCACTTCTAAAACAAATATACACGGGAAGAGAAACAGAACATAAAATAAAACCCCTTGCAATTAATTTATTAAACTATTACTTGCTCAAGACAGAGCACTACTTACCTGCTACTGTATGTGTTCTAAATATGTATGTATAGGCTTCTTCTCCCCACCCTCTGTCCCAGTAGTTCTCCTACTGGGTCACGATTAATTACCTAAGCACATTGACGTGTATAGGTTTCTGGAAGACTAAAACGTATATTCTATCAAATCACAGTCATATCAGATAGTCAGTAAGCGTAAGCAAGGGAAGAAAAGGAGCTTTTGTTGGGGGGGAAAAAGGTTATAATACTCCCACTACAATTTATTCAATTTCCATTATTTGAGAATGAGAACTAGAAGCATCGCAAGAATCTTCCATTCTTGATGCAATCATTTTCAAACAACAGCACAGGCCCAACAGAAGAGACATCACATTATAATAAGTAATATAAATGTACAGTGGCTACTGAGGTTAGCTCCCAGTTTTACAGAATTTAATCTTCACATTTAAAGTTTGCTAATTTAATACATTGACTCATGTATGAGCTTTGTTTAATCCATGTATACAAGGTTCACATTTTTATTAAAACTTACTACAAGCGGCTGAACCCAAAGTTTCTTAGCAGTGATATCTTTCAGAACGGGGATGGTTTTTGCCATTATAGTCAGATTTGTTTCTTAAGTGCCCTAGAGTAAACTAAATGCATTCTTTGTAGAAGTCTTGAACTAAGGAGGTTGTAGAATAGATAAGGGATGTTAAATAGCAGTGTCTCAACATGAACAAATCATCCCAAACTTTTAAATATTTCTGAAGAGTAGAGCAAGTAATCATAAGCTATGGTTCAAGCTGGTGATGCCATAGCCTTTAAGGTGATTTCAATGACAGAGGCAGTGTTTTCCAACTGACTCATTTGCTTTCCTCAGACTTAATATTCTCTTTGTTTGGCCAGCAGATGTAGATGATAAACTCAAGTTGGCAAAGGGAGGGGAAAAAAAAGAAAAGAAAAAAAAAATAAGAGGGAGGGATTTGCTAATTTGTTATTTTCAGGAGACTCAGCCATCATGGTCACCTGTAGCGTAGACCACAATAAAGCTGAAATGGTTTTTCCTTCACAACCATCACTTCAATAAGCCTCACAATTTTCTGGCTATCTGAAAACTAGTGGAAAACACTGCAGCACACTGGGAGGGGGGCGGAGAAAACACTGCACCTCTTCCTCTAGATTTCATGACACTTTGTATCTTTCCACATTATTAATCGATATATTTGGTTACATGTAGGTGTTCCAAAAATTTTTATCAATACTCAGTACTCTGAAATTGTACCATAATTTTCAAAAAGCAACGATAAATTTACAAAAAAAAAAAGACACCACAGTCACAAGACCTAAAAAAACCACAGAAGAGACCCTTAGGCACTCAGGTCTAAACAAAGCAGAAACTAACAGGGGTTACAAAGGAGGGTTGGTGGCAGATTGGTTATTCTAACCATTCTGTGGATTCTCCTTGACCCTTTCCTCAAAAATCTGCTATCTGGCTCAAAATTGCCGCTAACCTAGCTTCTCACTGGTTTCATCGGCAGAGCAAGTCCCCTATCTCTAACAAGGAACAAAGAGGAAAAACCCAAGTACAGCCAAGACCACGAAGGCACGTTATCACTGTCACTAAGCAACAGTTCCACAAACATGCAAACCTAAAAAAAGGGAGAAATTTAGTCTATTGGAAGATATACTGTAAACATAAGATAGCCAGGTAACCAAATGACAAATTATTATCTGACAGCCTTGAAAATCTCTCCACGTGAACTGCTTTTAAGCCAACTTGTAATAAATACCACATGCAGCTAAATTAAAAAAAAAATCCTAAGCCAAGTTAAATAATAGCCAACATTCAAATTTAACCATATAAAGTCTACATTAAGATCCAAAGTGACAATTACAAAATATTATATTACTATGAACACTGTCAAATGCTTTGAATAACAGTACACTAAGGAAATAAGTAAAAACACACTTTACCTTGTATCTCATTTTGGGGCATGAATGAATGTAGAAACCCATGTAATAAAAACAGAGATCAGGAGCTTTTTCATGAAGTTGCCTAGTAAAAGCAATTTCCCTGTGAAAGGAAAGAAGAGACTAATTACTTTTGAATACAATTCATACACTCATTTTACCTCTCCATATTGAAATATTTTGCAGCTACCTGGCTCTTGACCTATTTAAAGGACTAGACTTCTATCAAATAAAAAAATGAAGATAATAAACTCAAAACGAATGCTTATAAAAGCCCCAAGATAATAAACTGAAAATCAATGCTTAAAAAACAAACAAATCACCAAAATGCAAAACACTACGTCAGACTTCAAAAGACTTTCATTTTTGTGTTTTGTCCTGCCAATTGACTGACTTGAAATTCAAACAGAAGTCACTAAAAGCCTCCATTTTACAAGTTTCTTATTAATATTCATATTTCTACAGAAATGTGGCCTAGCTATTGTACACAGAGTGGCTAGTGTGGCTCAGGAAAACAGCAGTGAATTTTTGAAAAACAAGCTTCAAGGCTAAGCCTCTTGTTTGTTCTATTAGTTGTGTTCTAGCAATTCACATGTAAAAACATCCATCTTTAAGCAACAAAAAGTATTTTTCACCCATCCCATGTTTGTCTGTATGATTTTCTCATTTATTCTGAAAGACAAGTGTCAATGAATTCCGAAACAAGTTTGCTTTTTATTTTACTGGCACAAAGAAAGTAGTAGTATTACAAAGATTCAGCCACTGTTTCCACAATAATATTCATTTTTACAGCATTTGTAACTTTGGAGTTCACTTTTGTAACAAATTTGACAAAACATGGCTGTTGGTTCTCAACTTTGTGTCGAAGCGGTAAGAGGATACAAGTATGTGCATATAGGAAGCATGCACAAATACTGGGGTTCTTTTATCGCTTAATATTAGGTTAGTAATGAGGATGTTTAAATATACGTAAAACCTAACATTTTAGTCACATGGAGTTTGCTGAGACCATCATGAGTTTGTTATAACTCTGTGTGTGTGTGTGTGTGTCTCTCTCTCTATATATATATATCTGTTCAAAGAGGAGAACGTCTAGAAATAAGTTACTCCATATCTGAAAATCCAGGTAAACACAACAGAGTCCAGAAGTAAGATTTATGTATTACTAAAAATGTACAAACATGCACTTCATAAACATAGTCTTTAAGACATGGCGTAAAGTTAAACAATCTTACCATTTCATGCAGATTATTCTGGACCTAATTAAACAAATACCTTTCTGCAATTCAAAAAGCTGGAAGACTACAGGGAAAAAACATTATCTTTGCATTTCAAGATCTCTTAAACACTCTTT